AGGGGGGGGGGGGGGGCGGTGCGCGGGACGGGACTCGCGGGTGCCCCGTGCATGGTATGGCACGGAATGGGCGGCGCTTGGGAGGAGCACGGGGGGAGGGGTGCGTGGATATGGTGAACTCGAGAGTGCGGGGGCATGGGCAGTACATGGGGGAGGATGGGCTTGGGGGGCATGGATAGGATGCGATTTCAGGGGGTGCCACGGGGAGGGAAGGGCCAGGGAGACCGGAGATTGCAGGGGTACGGGCGGTACATGGAGGGCACAAGGGCACAGAGGGGCATTGGAGTAGGAGGGGGTGTGGGATACATGGTGAGTGGATACGGGGTTGCCCAGGGATGCATGGGGATGAGATCGCAGGCTTATGAGTATGATAGTTGCATTGGCACAGTGACCCCGCAGTTACTCCGAGTGCGGAGAGGGACCATTACACTTAGTGCATGGGCAGCATGTAGATAGGTGGAGGTGTGTTCAGGTGAACAGTGGATGGGTATGGGATTTGTGCATGAACATGGAGTACATAGGGAATGTATAGCTATAGGAGCGTGTATGGGAAGCGTACAAATGTGTATGAGTATGGAGGGGGGAAGTTGAGTGGGAAAGGGTGGTTAGTGCCTGGTAGAAGGCAGGGATGTTAGAGTTTAACTGGGTAATCAATAAGCTGATGTTTATCACTTAATGTTACTGGTTAAACTCCTCCTGCTTAGGAAGCAGCTCCCCCCTGCTCCCTACTGCAAGCTCTGCATTTAAATTTGGAGTCACAGGCATACATCAGGACTGAGCCTGCTTGCCAGCGGGCTGTAGTCCATCCCCAAGCAAAACTAATCCTTAGCTGTGTAACCAATAGGATATGTAATGGTTACTGTTTTAAATCACTTTTTACATCCCTAGTAGAAGGCAAATAGTGAGTGGTGATTAGGAGAAGGGTGAACAGGGATGGGGGGAGTAAATGGCTAAGGGTGAACAGGGATGGGGGGAGTAATGGCATAGGGCAAAATGTCTCTAGCATTGTTCAATAGTTCAGCTCAAAATAAAATGTTACTGAGTTAACATTCTGCTTAAAGAGCAGTTTAAAATGGGACAAAGTGTAAGAATCCAATACTAACACAGCCTCCCTGTATGTATGTATTATACAGGGGCTCGTGTTCATGCCATCTTAACTTTTTTGTTGGTTGTTGACAAATACCTTAAAGAAGTGAGTTCGTCTGTCTCTAATAAATAGTAGAGCCTTATTTTTTCTTACTATTTTCTTTTGTTAGCATTAGCACTAGTAAACTCTATGGCTGTGTCTACACTACAGGCTTCTTGCGCAGGAAGCTTTTTGCGGCAGAGATCTTCCACAAAAACTTCTTGCGCAAGAGAGTGTCCACACTGCATGGACACTCTCTCGAAAGAAAGCGCTGATAGCTATCCACAGAATGGCCACCAGGGCACCTGTGCTTTTTCCTCTTTCCTGTATTTGCACAAAAAAGCCTGTTGCCTGTCCACACCCACCTTTTTGTGCAAGAAGTCTTGCACAAAAAGGAGTTATTTCTTGTAGAAGGAGGAATACCTACACCAGAAAACCCCCTCTGTTCATTCGTTTTACTTGCGCAAAAATGTGCTTGAGGTGTGGATGCTCTGCAAATTTTTCCGCAAAAAAACCCATTTTTGCACAAAAACTCTGTAGTGTAGAGCTAGCCTGACAGTGGTAATAATAGGTAAAAGTTGCCACTGGCATTTGATCCACCATGTCTCAGAGATTCTTCTGAGCAGGTTATGACTACGCTACAGTTAAAATACTAATAACTAGCCACTGATGCTAGTGGAATGATTGGACTTTTTAAGGATCCACAATTCCAAATGTGGTTTGGAAGCTGCATTTTTTATTAATTTCCCCCCTTGGGTTACAACTTGTGTTGCAGGTTTGCTAGCTTATATAAAACATTTCTGAGAGTCTTTAAACAAACAGAAAACCTAATCATCCAATTTTGCCAAATTTGCCAATTTGTAAATTGATGCTGCTTAGAGTTCTAAGAAGTCAGACAAACAGGTTTTTCCACTGTATTTTATTTTAATGTAGAAGTGTATTTTGCATGCTGAATTATTTGATAGGTTGTCACACCCTCTTGGCTGTACAATGAGGAAATCTCTACAAAGCTAGAGAAAAAATACATTACTTTTCCTGTGAACCTGTTCAAATATTTTACTGCCGTAGAGTGACATTTATTTTTCCACTGCTGTATAGAGATTTACATGCACACTTTATGTTAATATGAATTATCTGCATTCATCTCTCATCTGCTATGCAGAAACACAAAGGCAGGCTCAGATATCACCCAGGGCTCACTGAACCGCAGCGAGCCCTGCTCACCAGCCGTGCATGCGCAGATCACCCAAACCCAGCTCTTCCGGGTTGCAATCTACTTGCCTGTGTTATTTGTCGAGCCCTGGGCATGAGTATATGCACAAATATGTCCACTGAGTGCAATAGAATGACATGCATATATAAAGTTACTAAGGGTATGTCTACACTACAGCGTTAATTCGAGTTATCTTAATTCACATTAACTATTTCGAATTAAGCTAATTCGAATTAACATGTCTACACACAAAATGCAGCTCAAATTAGCATTTTGCTAATTCGAAATACTGCATCCACACTGACTGGACACAGAATCGGATTTAAGGCCAGCCAGAACCAGGTCAGGCAGGGCATCAGATCAGGAGTGTTTGTGTGTGGCTGCTGCCTGACACCTGTACTTAAAGGACACCTCCCCCCACCCTCCGGGCAGCCGGTTCTCAGGTGTCCCTGCTTGCTTGCCTGCCTCGATGAGGGACAGCAAAGCATTTGTGTGTCTGCGTGCTCTGGTTGCCCTCAGGACCCACAGCACTCTGCAACATGGAGCCGGAGCTGCCCCAGCGCACTCTGGTGCTTCTCATGGACGTGTTGCTGTGAGCCTGACTGCACTTTCTGTAGGCTGTCATCCCGGAGGTCCATCGGGTGGCTATCAGTATCCAGGAGGCCCTGCAGGAGCACTAAGAGGAGCACTAAGGAGCCTCCCTGGTGTGCCCCACTGGGGGCTTGTGCCTCATTCCTCCCTCCTTCCACTTACCCCTCCCTAACCCCCCCTTCCTGATGTCAAATGAAAACACATTTCTTGTCAAAAACAAACTCTCTTTATTGACCAAAACTGGGGTCAGAATGAGGGTGGGAGAGCGGAGGGGGAAACCTGGAAGAAGGGAGTTGGAAGGGGGAGGAAAGGTCAGGAAAAGCTCAGGGTTGGGGGTCTTGCCGGACCAACTTGATTTTAATGAAAACATGCTCCTGGGTTTGCATGTGGCCTTTGGTGGCCAGGCTGGCAGCTTTCCTGCCATAGATGGCTGCATTTCTCCATCTAGCGTGGAGATCATGGACGTTGGGGGCATCCCCCCAAAACTGATTATGATCCACCCTGATCTCCATCCTAGACCAGGAAAGCGCCTGCCTTCTCTGGGCCCTGGCAGGCTCCTGGGAGCTGGCAGACTGTTCCTGGGGTGCAGTGGAGAGATGTGAGCCATTTTGCTGTTTTACTAAAGTCTCTCTGAAGAAGATAACAATTACAGTCAGAGTTGCTGTAAGTAGATGTAATTATGTGTTCGTTTGTTTTCAAGGATTTTGTAACTGACAAACATTGCCTGGTCTTAATAAGGAGTACAGCAAAAAGGTAATGTATAAAACACAGTGAATTCTACTAAGCATTCGTCCTTGGCTAGGCCACATGCATCAGCAGTGCAATATACTGCTACACAGGAGATCCAAGCATGACTCCTAAGTCACTGGAACTTGAGTATGCTATGGGATAACTAGTGCAAGAAAGTCAGGTCAATGCATTTCCACAATCCAGATGGACTTCTCTGACCTATAGATGAAATAGTGGTGCCACTGACATCTAGACTACGTTCTTTTTTCTAAAGGAGATATGCAAATTTGGTGCTAATTTGCATATCTTCCGATTGCTTTTTCGAAAGCATTTTTTTCTAAAGTGAAAGCAGTTTAGACAGGGGATTTTTTTTCAAAAGACCCCACTTTTTCGAAAGAACCCTGCATACCTCATTTTGTGAGGAAGAGGGGATCTTTCGAAAAAGGGTTTTTTTTCCCGGAAGAATATTATGCAAATGAAGCACACAATTTTTAAATCAGCGCTTCCTTTGCAATTTCGAAATCCTTCATTTACATTCCTCTGTCAAAAGAAGAATGTAGTCTAGATGTAGCCATTCTGTTTGCTGGAAGAGAAGTATTGTGGTGATTGTGGGGAGGTTTGAGAAGTATATGTATGAAGGAAAAGGTGAGCATAGAATAACGGGGTGAGAGAAAAATCTGAAAATTGCATGGAGGAGTCTTTAAATTGGTATTACTTTATGGAGCATAATTCTTTCATGAACCTAAGCTCTAATAGACAACTGCAAACAGGAAGTGTGCTGGCAATCTCTAAAAGGACAGAAAGAAGAGATATAGATTATCACGTACAGAAATACAAAACAAACCTCTCTCCATAAGGATCAAATCAAATGCTGGGCTTTCCCTATTCTTTTCCCAACAGAAATTTAGGATACATTTAGACTGCGTTGTTGTTTTGGGATACCGGAAGTATCCAGAAATAGCAACGCTGCATCTTTAAAAGCTCACGCTATTTACCGAAATAGCGGGCACGCTATCCCAGCGTCCCTGTAACCTTCGTTCCGCAAGGGTTAAGGGATTTGTCGGAATAGCACCTTATTTTGAAATTTGGCGCTGTCTATACAACACCAAATTTCAAAAATAAACTCTTTCGACTTAGACTCGGAATAAGCTACACAATTTGCATAGTGCAATTTTCATGTAAAAGTAGTCTCTGAAAACATAGCACAGAAATCCAATTTATAACTCCAGGTAAAAAAAATCTTTTCTATGACTGTAATTCTGTTAAAAAAACAGAAACTGTTGAGAAGCGAATTAGTTTATACCACAGCTTCAAAATGCCCCACATACAGACAGCTTATATCATAACAGCTAATAGAATAGTCTAATATATTTCACTGTATTCACAGCAGTCTGCTTGTTTTGAAATCATGGCCATTTATGTACATTCCTGATATTCACATACACCTCTGGTATATTATATCCTATTTATATGGACATAATTTTCTTTCAACACAGTTTAAAATACATTCTCTCATGTTTTAACTAGAACAAAGAAGTTGCACAGCTTCCCTTCCAGACTACCTCAGCTTCCTCCCCCATACGTATCACAAGAAGAAGTCATGAGGCTCATTTCATCAGCTTCAAACTAATTGTTGCAGCTGTAAGTAATACAGGTCAGATTGCTTTAATCAGTAAGGAAGTAATAGAACATTTTCCCACCGTTGCACTTTCACAACAAGTTCCCCATAAATTGCGATGATAAAGGATCAAATTATACATTCTGGCTGTAAATGCACAGTAACTGCTCCAACTTTAATAGAATTAATGTGGATATATAACCATGGTACTTGAGCCAGAATTTAGCAAAGTATTTTGCTGCTTCATAAAATCATATCAGACCAAAATAATAAAATTACCTCCAGTTGAAAATACCCATGAACTTCCACTCCCTTCAAATAAACAGATTAATTGGACAGGAGCCCTCTTACCAAGGAAAAGGAATGGTTAGCTTGCATCAAAATCAAGAAATCCCCCAAATCCCAAGGAGAGATTCTTTTATGATCAATAACCCTCATCTTCCCTGATTCTCAGATCTGTCATTCTGCAGAATTCCAGAAATTCAACACTGGAATCATGGGTTTCCTGTAGCCCAGGTGGGAGAAGGCTTTGCCTTCCCAAGCTGATAGGCATGGCCTCGCCCACACTCCACTCCCAGAACACCTGCTTCAGGCATTCTGGGAGCAGACGGTTGCTGCCCCAGTGCCTGTCCTCTCTGTGTTCCAGGGTGGGGAGGCTGGAACTGCACACCCTCCTTCCTCCCTGGTGCTCCAGGGCTGGGGCCGAGCCACGCATCCTCCTCCCTCCTCAGTGTTCCTGAGTTGGGGAGGCCGGGGCCACGCCATGTGCCCTTCTCCCTCCTCTAGTGTTCTGGGGCTGCATGCACTTCTTCCTCCCTGGATCTCTGGGGCTGGAGAGGCTGGGGCTGTGCCACACACCCTCCTCACTCCCCTGTGGTCTTGGGCTGCGGCAAGTGCCCATCCACCAGCCCACTCCCTGTGGTTGGGGGGGTGGGAAGTGGGTGGGGCCTCAGCAGAGGGGATGGGGCTGGGAGCTTGCTTCCCACAGCCCTACCTTCACCAACCACCCATGATTGGAGTTACAGCTTATATAAAGAACATTATACAAATTCTATCAATGCTTTTATGTCTGTACAGTATTGATTTCAAATCAAGTCATGAACAAGCTACTGGCTGTACAACAGAAGCAAAACCACACTTTTAAAGCATAGGTCTGATAAGAGTCTGTTGACAATAATCTGAGTTTTTCAGTTTATTTAATGTATTTTTTGATCAATCCAATAAATATAGGAAGTTAGGTATCTAAATAAGTGAACTGATGCTCAGAGCTGCTGACATTTGAAGCTGGCACTTTATCAATCAGTTCATTATTTAATTGCATAAGGAAGTTTTTAGAGAATGTTGGAAATAACTTCTTGGTACAAGAGCTGAAGGATCCAACCAGGGGCCATGCACAGCTTGACCTTCTGCTCACAAACAGGGAGTGACTAATAAGGGAAGTAGAGGTGGGTGACAACCTTGGAAGCAGTGATCATGAGATGGTAGATTTCAGGATTCTGGCCAAAGGAAGAAAAGAGAATAGTAAAATACACAGCCTGGACTCAGAAAAGCAGACTTTAACTCCCTCAGAGACCTGATGGGCAGAATCCCCTGGGATGCTAACATGAAGGGGAAAGGAGCCCAGGAGAGCTGGCAGTATTTTAAAGAAGCCTTATTAATGGCACAGATACCATCCCGATGCATAGCAAGAGAAGCAAACATGGTAGGAGACTGGATTGGCTTACAGGGGAAATCCTTGGTGACCTTAAGCACAAAAAGGGAGCTTACAAAAAGTGGAAACTTGGACAAATGACCAGGGAGGGGTATAAATGTATAGCTCGAGAATGCTGGGGGTTATCAGAAAGGCGAAAGCGCAATTGGAATTGCGACTGGCAAAAGATGTGAAGGATAACAAGAAAGGTTTATACAGGCATGTTAGCAAGAAGAAGGTGATCAGAGAAGGTGTGGGGCCCCTACTGGATGAAGGAGGTGACCTAGAGGCTGATGATGTTGGGAAAGTTGAAATAGTCAATGCTTTCTTTGCCTCTGTCTTCACTGACAAGGTCAGCTCCCAGACTAATGTGCTAAGTGACACAAGATGGGATGAAGTTGGGCAGCCCTTGGTGGGCAAAGAACAGGTTAGGAACTATTTAGAAAAGCTAAACGTACACAAATCCATGGGTCCGGACTTCATGCATCCGAGGGTGCTGAGGGAGTTGGCAAATGTCATTGAGGAGCCTTTGGCCATTATCTTTGAAAAGTCGTGGAGATCAGGAGAGATCCCGGATGATTGGAAAAAGTCAAATGTAGTGCCCATCTTCAAAAAAGGGAAGAAGGACTATCCAGGGAACTATAGGCCAGTCAGTCTTACCTCGGTCCCAGGAAAAATCATGGAAGGGATCCTTAAGGAATCCATTTTGAGGCACTTGGAAAGGGGGAAAGTGATCAAGAATAGTCAGCATGGATTTACAAAGGGCAAGTCATGCCTGACCAATCTGATTAGCTTCTATGATGAGGCAACTGGCTCTGTAGACGTGGGAAAGTCAGTGGATGTGATACACCTTGACTTTAGCAAGGCTTTTGATACAGTCTCCCACAATATTCTTGCCAGCAAGTTAAGGGAATGTGGATTAGATAAATGGATGGTAAGATGGATAGAAAGCTGGCTAGATGGTCGGGCCCAGCGGGTAGTGATCATCGGCTTGATGTCAGGATGGTGGTCAGTTTCTAGCAGAGTGCCCCAAGGTTCAGTTCTAGAACCGGTTTTGTTCAGTATCTTTATTAATGAGCTGGATGAGGGGATGGATTGCACCCTCAGCAAGTTTGCAGATGACAGTTTTATTACGAGCTGCAGCAAGGGAAAAACTGATTCGGATGGGGGGGGGGAAGAGGGTGAAGAGGGGGGAGACCCCCAGAGGCAGATCTTCGAATACAAGCAATTATGAAGCAGTTTATGTACTGTCCATTAAATATAATAACAATAACAATTAGTCTCCTTCCCATTACAAACACTAACAGTTATTTTAGTTCCACCCAGATGCTCCTTATCTCAAGGTACCTGCCAGAATCAGCATTCTATCCTTATCTCCGTATGGAGGCGAGAGGTGAAGGCAGCGTCTTGTTACAGCTCTCGTGTTGTCAGGCTACACACTTAGCCTAACTCTTACTCTACTACTGACAAGACTAAGATGGCTGCACACAAATTCCCTTATTCCCTTTTTCCTGCTTCCACAGTCATTATGTCAATTATCAATAATTAGTTGTATAGTTTGTCATGCAAATGGGCATTCTTATACGGCTCTTTATTGACTTCTTCTGAATTTTTATGTAGTTTGGCTCTTTGGTTTGAAAAGGTTGCCGACTCCTGCTGTAGGGGAACATTTTAACCTACCTGGACACTCAATATTGATTTTAAAATTAGCCATTCTTCTACAAAGGAATTTTACCAATTACAGAGAGAGACTGCTGAAATGGAATTAATCTATAAATTTGACAGTCAACCTGAGCTTGAATAAAGATATTAACTGGTTAACACACTACAAAGTCAATTTTCCCTGCCTTTGATGTTTGCATTTTCACATCAAAAGCTATGAATGGGACACATCCAGCCTACTTAATTAGCTTCATTAACGGGTCCTTCAATTGACAGATAACTGCTTTTGCTGTTATATACACCTTGGATTCCATTATTTCCACTCCAACTCATCTGACGTAGTGTGTTTTTTCCCAGGAAAGCTCATGATCCTATATATTTGTTAGTCTCTAAAATGCCACAGGACAGTATTTCCTCCAAGCTGCATGGCAGCACAGCTTCACAGATGATTAATCAGCCCCACCCAGTCAGAGGCTCAGAGCTGACTGACTGGGTGGGACTGATTAATCACCTATGAAGCTGTGCTGCCATGCATCTTAGAAGGAACACTGCCACAAGACTATTCATTGTTTCTATTTTACTGGGATTCTGTGAGGATTAAACAGATAACATGTAAACCTTAGAAGAGGAAAAGTGGTTAATATTATTATTGCTCTTGCGGACTACTAATGTAATGGGGAATTGTTTGTGAATTAATACCTTACCGGTAGCAAACTCAATGTGTAAAGATTTTATTAATATAATTACACTTATCTTCTGCTCAGACTTGTGAAATCTCTTCAGAGGGAATGAAGAAGCCAGACTGTGCCTCACACCAGAAAAGGAAAGAAGCTAAACATATTCAAAGATTGGACTGTTGTGACAAGCAGCATACACCTCCCCTTGTGATCTCTGCAGATCCCCAGGAATATGAAGATAAGAGGTGTGAGAAAAGTTCAGAGAGATTTTCAGCAGTACAACTGTTTGAAACTGTGATAGCCTATAATTTTCTATTCTGTGGCTTTTTACACTGGTTTCATATTTACAGCACTTTCATATTTTAGGGTACATCACTACACACTTATTTCAAAATAAGTTATTCTGGAATAGTTATTCCAAAATAACTTATTTCAAAATTGCATGTCTGTACTGCAGGGAAGCCTCAAAATTAGTCTGAGGCAGCACGTCTACATTAGGGAAGCCCTAAGAGGCAATGGGGAGGAATAACTTAGAATGGCCCTGGTGAGGGGCTATTTTGAAATAGCAGCAGTGAAGCGTCTACACACACCTTATTTAGCTATTTTGGAATAGGCATTATTCCTCATAGAATGAGGCTTACAGATTTCAGAATAAGCCATCCGTTATTTCGAAATAACAGAATGGCTGTGTAGATGTTCACGTAGTTATTTCGAAATAACACTAGCTATCTTGAAATAACAGTGCAGTGTAGATGTATCCTGTGATCAGATTGGAAATTTGTATCAGATGATAGAACAGAATCTCTTTATAACTCTCATTTTTAAAGTTAGCTGAACTTTTTCTTTTGAATGTCCCTATTTGTATTATCTGACTTCATGACATTTGCGCCACCTAAACTTTATCAAAACAATAGGAAGAAAAATATTTAACCCGTAAATTTCTTATAAATAATAAAAAGGCCAGCTGTGGAAAGGCAGCATTACGGAGAGAGATTCTCAAAACCATAAATCTTTCCAAACATGGTAGATTATGTCAAATATAATGCAGAAGACTTTTCTCTTCTTGAAAGTCTTAGAGGTCCAGAGTTTTTTTTTAATATCAAATGTGTGTGTTAGAGGGAATCTTTATATAGACCCCACTGTTTCCCTTTTGAAACTAGGTAACTTCTACTTTCGCACATTTCTGAAACACAAACTTTTATTAATAGAAGTTTCGAATGCTCAGTGTCTAGACCTATTGGGAAAGCATAATAGATCTAAAAGACTGGTAGTCTAACTTCATGTCACAGATACCAATATTACTTGAAAACAAATCACACCCTGAGACAGTAATTATATGTTGGTCAGATACTGGTGGTTGCAAACAACACAGTGGTGCACAGTCATTTACAGCAAGTCGTGCAAAGAAAATAGAAAAACTAGGCACTAGAAACAGGGTTATGTGACGAACTGTTTGCTGTGGATGCAATTGTGACTTTGTTGCAGGAAAAGATATTAGGTTTTATTTGGGAGGGGGTCTGTCAGAAAATTTTGGCATGGGATTAGACACAGTAGGAGTTTAAAAGAACTTGCTTACATTCTGTAGGCCCTGTGTTTTACATTGTGACGGGCCGCCAACGGCCTGCATGCCGGCCGGCCAGAAAGGGGGCGTGGGGAGACGCGCAGGGAGCCTGAGGGGCACAGCACTGCCACCAACCTGGAGCACAGTGGAGACCCTTCTCCCCGCTGGGGCAGCACCAATGCCGTGAGCCTGGCCCCTGGCCGGACCGAGCAGAAGTGGCAGGCGGCTGCCCAGAAGTGATGGGGGAAGACCCCGCATCACGGAGTGGGCAGGGCTGCCAGTCAGCGTTGTGGCCAGCGGGCCGTCTCAAAAAGCCCTGCCAGCATCAGAGACTGGGGATGGCAGGGTGTCCCCGGAGGGAGAGCGGTGAGTCCCAAGCGAGGAACGTCGCCGGCGAGAGAGACCCCAGGAGAGGCGCTGGAGGACAGAGTGAGTGCCTGGCCCCTGGAACCGCAGTAGGCACTGGGGAGCTGGAGGTGCCACCCAGGGATCAGTATGGGGAAGGAAGCAGCCCGAGGCAGGGTACTTGTGGTGCCCATGGGCTGACACGTTTCGGGAATGCACCCCGTCAGCCATGCAGAGAGCCCTGGGCTGGGACCCGGTGGAGAGGGATGGCCCAGGTCTCCCTTCACACCCATCCCTGCGAAGAGTGGACCAGGCGAAACCTGGGAGGGAGTACGAGGATCTCAGGCAACTGGGGTATGGAACCCCAGAACGGACTGCTGTAAGGGGGATAAGTGGCAGTTGGGCTCACAGGGTCCCGGACCCGGACGGAGTGCTCGTGCCCAGGGGACTGCCACAGACATACCTTAGTATTTTAGTAGTAAATGTCCACATTTTCATTTCTTTTAAAAATGGTGATCACTGGCTTGATTCTGCTTTCATTTTGAGCAATCAACTTCCTTGAAACTATGCCTGTTTACACTAGATAAAGAGAGGAGAAGCAGGCTACGTAACATTAAATACATGATATTAAACATGTTATACTTAGTATAGGACCTATCCATATGTGCTACAAAGCTGCGCATGCCTGATGTGATCTCATATGCTGCCTGAGTGGGTATATTTATATAGCTTTTAGGATGTACAGAAATCATTGGGATTATTAAATTATTCACTGAATCAGGACATTTATTACCGGGGGATCTTTCCCATGATGTAAGTTTATCCCTCACTGTCCAAATGGCCATTTACTGAAATACTGTCAGGTCCCCAAATTATTTGGCTAAATTGTATTTGTATGCAGTTTGTGATGTGTGTCATCTAACCTGAGTCCTATTTAGAATTCACGCTCTTTTCTCTTTGACAGTGGCAGAGAAATATTTGATCTGGCCTGATCAATTCGCAATCACTACTTTTCATCCTACTGTAATTCCTAGTTATAGTTAGAAACTGAAGTCAGTCTAGTCTGATTACATAAAAATAAAATCATTATAATTAAATGAGCTTTTGATTTTAGGAAAACAATTTTCTTAATGGAAAGCGAAGAACCAAACTTGCCCTCCCAAACTCAAGGGAAGTTACTGTTCCTATCTAGACACTGAGAAATAATTAACAGGCCAAATTGCTTATTTTTGTTATGCTGTGTATTACAGCTACCATGCAGTGCAGTACAAGTTAGAAAACCTAATAATAGAAAGTCTTATATGTAATGACTTTTCTGCCCTAATAAAGGCATTGACAGTCAATGTATAGTAATATATAAGGAGAAGACTGTCTGATAGTGAGAATAGGCACATAAGAAAAGACTGGAAAAATAATGAGCAAGGCTATAAATCTCATTACGTACTGACAAGTCGTCTTGATTTTATTTTGAAGTAGTTATTTTATACTTCTCATAGCACTGATGTTTTCTGTTTTAAAAGTACACAGGAAACTAACACATTAAAAGAATCAAGTGCTAATTTTATCCAAGAAGATTCAAGGAATTATTATGGAAAAAGTAAGTTGCATTCTTAATATACTTTTAAATCCTTTTTACCATGTCTTATCAGACTAACCAAGTAAGCCATTTGTAAATGCACAGCCGACTCCTGGATTTTTTTCAGGACTAAGTTATTGTGGCGGTTGGTCTTAAAAGGATGGTACAGTACTGAAATTGTTTCTAAACACAACTGCATGTTTGCAAATGATTAAGTTTTCCAGGTGTTCTTTTTATACCTTTACTGATAAAAGAATAACATTGTAGGTACAGTGTTCTCAGATAAACAGCAGAGGAAGAGAAACTGTCTTTTTTATTTTGGAATGTGTCTACACAGCAACTGGGAGCATGCTTCCAACTGTGGATAAACACACAGTCTCTGCTTGAGCTAGTGCACTACAAAATGGCAGTGAAGCCATGGTGGCATGGGCAGCAACTTGGGTTAGCCATTGAAGTACAACCCTGCCCAGCCTCCTGGGTACATATTCAGGTATCTAGCTCTAGTTGTTGTTTATACTGCTGTGACCACACTGCTATTTTTAGAATGCTTCCTTCACCAGAGTCAGTGTGTCTTACTATTTCTGTAAATGTCACCCATGGACCACTAGTGGCATGCGACAGTCTTGCAGGTGGTCCATGAGTTCGTCCTGTGCAGCAGGGAGCCCGCACTGGCGTTCCAGCTCCTCCTCCCCAAGGTTAGTGCCAGCACGGGCTCTCTACTCAAGGAGGGGAGGGGGAATCCTCAGCCTCACAGGGCAGATCTAGCTCGCAGGCAGAAAGGGCTCCCCGCACTCCTGCTCCCCCCACCCAGCTAGGGGAATAGCAGTGCAGGAAACAGCTCACTGGGAGGCTTTTCCTGCTGCTGCCATTGGCCAGGATTCTGGCCAATTGTAACAGCAGAGAGCAGTGCCTGGGGGTGCAGAGGCAGGCCAGCCCCCCCATCTCCCTCATACCTAGATGCCACACACTTCATATACCTCTCCTCCCACAAACCCCACATCCCCATTTGCTCCTACATTCTCCCTTCTGACCAGACCATCAGCCCACACCCTCCCCCCCCCCCCCCCGCCATTCCCCCGCTCTGGGCCCAAAACCCCAACCTCTCCTGTGTCCATTTTGTCATCTGTGGGGGTTGGCAGGTAGTCCGTGGAATGGTTTGCGTTGAAAAGGGTTGGTCAAGGACCAAAAAGTTTGAGAATCACTATGCTACCTGTACTAAGCATTGTCCTCCCCACTGCCATGTAGATACAACACCCTTTGTTGCCAATCTTCTGACAAACACACACACATCTTGGTCTGACACTGTACTATCTACATTTCATATTGCAAGAGATTCTTTTCCTGTTCTGTTACTTCCTAATACAAACTCTGGTTCTTTGTACTACTCCCTCTTCTGATTCATTCTCTCATATCTCCCCTTTCAATCTCTTCTGAAAGTTCATTCTTTTCTTGATTTCATCTGACAGACCCTTACTGTTCTTTGTCATGACTTTTAATTACCTACTTTACAATTTGCCCTCGTCCTGTGATTTTCCCATTCATTTTAGTAGGCTATATTTGTTTGATCCATTTTATTGTTGTTTTAAAATAACACTAAAGTACTTGGACAAGGGATATTTTTGTTAAATATTAAATTAGTCATTAAAAGCACAGTGTCTACTTTAGCTATTAAGGCAATAAAGGAAATAACACGAGAAGTGTAAATGGACTGCTCAGATTTGAGAGATCATCTAACATTTCCAGTAACTTATCTAAACGTAAGAGTGTACTTTCTAAAACTTCTACACGAGCATCTGATTTAAAGTCATTGTACAGTAAACTTCTGATAATCCGGCACCTTTAGGACCCAGGGGGTGCCGGATTATCAAATATGCAGGACTATTGGAAGAGGGGGCTATGAGGGGTCTGGGGTGGGATGCCACCCCAGAACCCTCATAGCCCCCCCTTCCGATAGTCTGGCTCTGCTCCAGGTGTCCCCGATTCAGCCGCTGCTGGTCAGTTTCAGCAGTGGCTGAATCGGGGACGCCTGCGGCAGAGCAGCTGGGGTGCTGCCGGGTTGGTCCAGAAGCGCCGCCCCTCAGACCTACGAGACCAACCCTGCAGCACCCTAGCTGCTCTGCCCCAGGCATCCCTGATTCAGCCGCTGCTGAAACTGATCAGTGGCTGACTCCAGGAAGCCCGGGGTACAGATGCTCTGCCCCGGGCTTCCCGGTATACTTAGATTAGTGAGATTATTAGAAAAAGTTTCTCATGCTAGTTTCAACTGTCTGTCTATATTAGCAAACTCTATAGCATTAATTCACCACCAGTACATGCTAGAGTCAGATGACACAGTAGTCAAAACTCCTGAGTCCTGTCTATATAACAGCTTTCACTGTTGCTGCCATTGGATAATGAATTCTGGCCAAGCGATTTCCTCATCTACACACACCATCATGGAGACTTGAGACAAATCTCAAAAAGCAACATAATTTAGCATGAGTGGCAATTTGCTCCAAAGGTTTAGGATTGGAATAATAGAAGCATTACTAGTCAGGACTCAAGCTGAATTGGCAAATCATATGTAATGGAAGTTTGACCAGAATCTGCCCTGATTAGTACTATTACCATAAAATCCACCCAGAAAAAAATGAAAAGTGCTCACATACAGCAGCATTGTTAGCCTTCACACTTATTCTGAATGGCAGATACAATTTCAGCGAATAGTACCTCCTATACAAAGAAACTTTGATGCAGTCCCATGAACTTCTATTGACATAGTTCAATGAAATGATATTCCATTAGTTTGATAGTGCATCTAGAAGATTTATAACTGTTGTATTAAGGTAGATAGGACATATTGGCTAAAGGTGTCGATATTAAACGGTATTAAACAAGGTTCAAGGCTTGGTTTATAGAGACCTCGGCTTGCTTAGAATCATAGAACACTAGAACTGGAAGGGACCCCAAGTTCAGTCTCCTACTCACAGCAGGACCAAGCACCATCTAGATCAGGAATGGGCAAAAGGGCCTCCGCGGGTTGGATCTGGCCTGCCAAGCAGCTTGATCCGGCCTGCAGAGGCTCTGCCACTACCCTGCTCCCAAGCCAATCAGAGCTTGGGGGCAGAAGGAAGTGCATGAAGTTTCTTCCGCCCTGCAAGCACTTGGCGCTTAGAAGCGCCACACGCTGCTGGCAGGGCAGGAGGAGACTTCAGAGTCCCAAGAGATGGTGGGAATAGCAGCCTTACATTCAAGCTCACTCCATTAGTCTCTGTCTGTTCTTCTATGTTCTCACCCCAACATCTCTTTCTTTAAGGACCTTAATTTAGGCCTAGTACCTGACACATCAAGCATAGTTAATTAATTTTTGGCTCAAAATTATGCTTGGTTAAAAGAGAGGTGAACACTCCTCAAACCGTATCAGTAGGCTCTTTTATTTTGGCTTTAATTTGTCTCCTTTTCGTATCTTTTCCCATCAATATTTCTTATATGTTATTAGCAGATTTGCCCGGCCTTGTTTGGTCCTTTACTCAATTAAGGTGGTATTTTTTCTTAAATAAACATAAAATATACGTTTCATTTAAATGATTGCATTTTTCAAGAAGTGTTATTTTTATTAAATTAATTTTTGTTTTGAATTTCTTAAAAAGTATTGTTACAATTGTTTTGTTCAATTATTTTTACTACATTTTTAAAAATGGGAATTCCATCAAGTATATTTTTTTCTTCATCCCTATAAATTCTTATTCGCTATGTTTTAACAAAAAAGGGTCATCGTCAATTTGGTTTCCAATAACACTGACTTCTAGTTTTCAAATCTTAAGCATTGATTTAGCTATGCCAAAACAGAGCACTACTTAAAATTTCTCCATTTTATCTCTTTTCTGTAAGGCTTATTAAGAAGCACTCCTATTCCAGGTTCATCCTATTGTTCTTGCTCTCGTTCAGTCTCTTTCAACATTCACTTAGTTATGTCAATTTTGAGGACTGCACTTGATTTGGTGATTTCTGTTTCTTTTCTGTTTGATTTTTAAGAAGCAGGCCCATCCCATTTTCCTGGCACAACTAAACCTTTATGTTACTTTAAGTTATGGTAAGAGAAAGCTGTATACTGAATTTGGTGATTCTAGCTCTCACCATTTAGGAGTCCTTGATAAGACAGACAAAATCTCACACATATATAAGATTATGACATAACTTTCACATAGTTTTTACAGTTGAGCTCATAGGTTGAATAAATGTTTAGGCCCCAGCATAGGCCATTTTGATCAAAGACTTCCAGAGAAAATGCAGAAGATTAACACTTCAGGGGGGCGCTCTCAGACAAACTCCTTGCATTTCAGGTATTAATATTTATTCTACCTGAAAAGAGCTGGGAATAGGTTTTTAGTTTCCATTTCAGGGATCCACATCTGTGAGTAGATATTAAATATCAGGGACCTGATGATGCCTTCCTTTTATAGCACTGCAGTAGTCTAACACAAGGGTAACAAAATCATGAGTAAACAATGAGATGGTTCAAATACACAAGAGAAAATGTAATATCCCTCAAGTGCAAGATAAGAATGAATGTTCCTTATTCTGCTCCAAAAAATTTACAATTTACATTGTTCTCTGGACATTTAGAAACACCTCAGGATTCAACAGATTCACCAACCAACCGATGACATGCCCTATTAGTCAAAGATACTGATATAATTTCTGCCACTTCTTCAGATTGATTCTCCCTCTATACAGGCATTATCACAGTCTTATCAGGGTTGAGTATCAGGGTACGTCTAACACTGCAGTACTATTTTGGGATATCCTGCGTCTTTTGAATGCATCCGCTATTGCAAAATATAGCAGATATACTCTCAGATCCCATGATGAGTTTACAGAGCCAGCAGTTAGGAAATAAAGAAAAAAATTGTTCACAAAAAGCAATGTAATCAAATTATTTAAATCAAAGTATATTTTAAAAGCTTAAGAAAAAAAAAGAAGAAACAGGATTTGGTCTGATGTAAATTGGCCCTGAAACGTTCAATAAAACAAATTATTATTTAAAAAATGTTCATACACTAGATAAAATTCAGAGTTGTTTAATGCACTTTAAAAAAAAATTAAACTAAACATTCATAAAGATACAGAATCTCTGTTATAAACTAACAATATACCAGAGGCTTGCATAAATACTTTATTACTACTATGTCCAGGCGTAGCCTCTGCAGAGTGCAAGTAACATACGCATACATACAACACACTACAGAAACTCTAAATAATGGAAGTACAATCTTCCACCAGAAAATCTGGTAGAATATTTGTAAACTATTCTTATAGAAATAGAATTCCATGTATATTTGAACAAATAGTTCATTTAAGAGGTACTGGCATATACAAATATAAAAGTTTCCAAATGCTGCATTTCAAAATTGCAATTAATATGCTTTGAAATATGTACACCTGAGTATTCATCAAGAAAGGCACAACAACATTCTAAACTTGTTCAGAACAAAATAGGACATTTTGTTTGAGTAATAGGACATTACAGGCATAAAATAAGGGCTAGATCCCCAGCTAGTATAAATTAGTTTGACTCATTTTATTTCAGTTTCATTACACTAATTTGTACACCAACTGAGGATCTAACCCCAAGTGGCTTTTTTTCCAGTGTTTGCTCAAGATTCTCTCTTTGTATTTTGCTTCTGAAACATTTAGTACCAAATTTCCAGCAGATCATACACAAGACTGACCATAATAGTGGTTTCAAAGCAAAAGTTCTAAGTCAACATACTAAAAATATTTAGAAAAATCGACTTAAATGAATATAGATTTTATTTGTTCCCCACGAATGTGCTAGTTCAGAATAGAAATTTAGATGCCTCCAACACTTCAGTTTTAAAAGAACTTAGTTAAAGAAGTGTACAACTAGCAATTCCTATTTTTCCCCCAGCTCCCTACTCCTACAGCATAATTTATAAACAGAAGAACTGGTATTTCACATGGTTTCTGGCTTAAGATCCTTCCTGAGCAAAGTTTCAGCTCAGAGCACACTTCCTGAGAAAAGTTTCAGCTCAGAGCACATTTTTACAGCAGTGTAGAACTCCCTGAAAAATAGGGGTCTAATGTAAACAATGACAATCTTAAACTCTAGCAGCATAAATAGTCCTATCAGTGAGTTTCTATACAGAATTAATATAATAGACACATTATGGTCCCAATCCTGAGAACAATTGCACATATTCTTAGCTTTAAGCACAAGTAGTCCCCTTGAAGATTTAAGATTATCTGTGTTCTTAAAGTTAAGCATGCAGAAAATGGTTTGACAGATCAAGGCCCTAGTTAGTGATTCAGCTTGTAAGCTACAGATTGTTATGTTTGTGTCTGCAGTCTCTAGTGGTTCTGTAAAGTTTCAGACTCAAAGCCCATCTCACATACAATTTGCTTTTGGAGGTTTTTCAACTATGCGTCTGAGCTTCTGTCAGCTTCCTGATTAAGAAGAGTTTGTCACGACTCTCCTAAAAAGACAGTAAAAATATCCACAATAAATATATTTGAAGAGAGAAAAGCCGTTTTTCCAATGTATCTAGACATATAAGTCACACACAGTGTTCTCTGTAAGCTGTGCGCTTCAGTGGCCACTCAGGAGAGTATCAAATGCTGTCCAGCTGATTAGTAGAGTGCCCACAGCTGGTTTTTTGTTTCTACATGCACACACTCAGTGCACATAAATGTATTCACACCTGGACAGAAAAGATTAGAGGGAAGTTTGGTCACACTCATTTTGTCTTCAATAGGAAAAAAGGTGGGTTGTTACCATGTGGTAAAGAACACATGGTATAACCCTAGTGAAGACAAAGTAGTTGTAATTTTAACATGAGTTAGCAGGTAAGAACATATCTTTTTTCCTACTGAAGATGCACCCAAATCTGCATTAAAAAAAAAAAAAAAAACCCAGAGAGTACTGTAACCAATCGCAGCTGCTCCAAGAGCTTCAGTAACCGTAATAAATTAAATCCCAACCTCTTTCCTTTTCTAAAGCACTTATATGACCAGGAAGCACAAATCCTATCGACTGCAATGGCATGTGTGCTCCTCAATTACACAGGGGTTTTGTGACAAGTATCAGAGAGTTAGCCATGTTAGTCTGAATCTGCAAGAACAATGAGAAGTCCTGTGACTCTTTATAGACTCTGGCCCCTTACTGCTCCCCCTGAGGTCATTACACAGTATAACTGTCCCTCCCACCAGCCCCCCCCCTTTCTATTTTATGAGGAACCATCAGAATTCAAGGCAAATTCTATAGTCCTGGCACAACCTAACCCAGACCTTGCTTTAAGTTATAAGAGAAAGCTGCATACAAATTTGGTGGTCCTAGCTGTTACCGTTTAGGAGGGGTTCTTGAACAGACTCACAAATGGATGAACACACAGACAGATATACAAACTCTCTCAAATATGTAGCAGATTTGAATTTGTCTAGCTTCAAACTTTTTTGAACTATGCAAGATTCAGGAGCCCATTATTACCCTGTATTTTTTCCAGTACTTACACTGTTGTTCTCATTGTACCTGGCTATATAATAGACAAATAAAAGAAAGCAAGAAGAGAACTTGTTTCTTTTCATGCTTGACTTCTAGTGCAACGCAGCTGAAAAACTTACGGAGAGGGGAAGAAATATAGATACTGTACCAGATCTTACCATAATCAATTGTTCCCTGAGCTGAACGATAACCCGTTTATGTGCTCCAGCCAAGGCAATGAAATAGAACATAATGAGGCTGCAAAACAGGGAATCCATATAATATGTTACCATCATATGCACACCAACATAGACAGAGAACTATTAGGAAAAAACCCACAGTCACACACCACACACCAAACTAACCATTGTGAGGGAAAACCCAAACTACTGAAGAATCAACATACAGCTGGGATAGGTAGGCACCAGAAAGGCTGAAGCAGCCTGCTACAAAAC